CAGGTGAGATCTGTCTTTAACTTAAGCCAAACAAAACTTGCAGAAATCAACCTTGGTTTCCAGGTCCCTGAAATACATACAGTAACATGTTCACCTCCAAACTCCATTTTTCAAAAATGAACTAGGCCCACAGCCTTAACTTACTCACAAGGCTTGATACTGACGTTTTTGCCTGTTAAAGAGTCTATCCTTCAACCAACTGTCTAAAGTTTGGGTGTAGTCACAGCAAGAAGTATGAAAAGCAAACGTGTCTCAAGAACCCACTCCTGCATCTCCCCAAGGTTCAGCTCATGCTAAAACATTTATTTTCCTGAGCAGGAAAACACCTGTGGAGTTCAAATTCTTAAGCTTCCCAATGCCGCTATTTCTTTAACAGTTTCTTGACTAAAAAGTCTTCTTTATTGCTTCAAGGATTTTTTTCTTTTTAATACAACAAAATAACTCCTAGACTCTGAAAATTACAGAAGTTACCGGGGGGCTACGAGGGGCCGGTGCGGGGGTGCTGAGGGTGCCTGGAGGCACCCTCCGCAGCCTAGAGGTGCCGGAACTCTGGCTTTGGGTGCAGGGAGGTGGTCCCGCAGCTCGGGGTCTGAAGCTGTATTCTGGAATGTATACAGTACTGCAAGCCCGTGGTAAAGCAATACAACTGTTCTTAAGAATTTTTTTTTTCCAACTTTGCAAGCTTATCATTCCTTCTTCTTTGCATTACTCATATATTCTAGTTCCAAAGTCCAGGCAACTGAAAGCTACACAGGTCACAGCTCTCATTTACGCCTAGCAGGAGAATGAAGCTAACATGAAAGAGGTGGGGTATTTGCTGCTGAAAAGATGTCAGCAGGCCCTGGGCTAACACTGGTCCCTTCACATCCTTTTTGTTAGAATGTTGATGAGGAAAAACAATCCCAGCCACAGGAAACCACATCATTCATTCCTCACTTACTTGAGGATCTGTTTTCCATAGAAGTAGCTTGGCTTAAAGTTCCTGTTTCAAAGAACCTCTCACAGCTAAGTGAGGAAGCAGACAATAACTGTACTCGGCCCATGTAGCTGCACGTATTCATATGCAACCATGTAGATTGCATGCAGACACAACTTTATGTAGAACTCTGTACCCAGAATTGGATAAACAAGTGCCTCCTGTTAACCCTTCACAACAGAGCAACCCCCAAAGGCTTCTCACCAGACCCCTAAACCCACTGCCCAAACGATGACCCACGATGCCAGGTACAATGGAATTAGGCCGACAGTCCACCCTGGCTGAACACTCCTTGGATGGATTATGGTATGTCGCTGTCATGTATAATCTCTGGCTTTATTGGGGGTAGGTGGATACCCGTGAATGTGGACTGGCAAACATCCCGGAAATGGACAGAAAACGAGAGCAAAGTGTGAAGAGTAGGCTAGCGCAGTGAGCTGTGCTTCTCAGCGTGTGTTCCTGGACCAACAGTAGCAGCTTCAACATGAGGAACTTTCAGGCCCCACCACAGATTTACTGAATCAGAATCTCTGGGGTGGGGCCATCTGTGTATTAATATAACCTCCATGTGATTCTGATGCGTGCTCAAGTTTGAAAAGCACTATCTAGAAAGACCAGACAAACAAGTACGTTAAGTGTAAACCAGTGGTTTCTCAACCTCGGCACCAGAGACATTTACAGCTAGAGTCCTTTCTGGAGGGACTGTCCCCGAGTATGAACTGTCAGGTCTCTCCCCACTAGGTGCCAGTAACAACCCCTCCCCCATCAAAAATGAATACAAAATTCATAGTCCCCACCTCCCCACCTATCTTTCACTTTTCTTCTCAAAATGTCTCAGCTAGTTCCCACCACTGTTAGCTTTTAGAAAATGAATTCAGCTGCAGCCTGTTTGCAAAGTTAAACCCACCGTTCTGAGCACGAAAGCACAGCCTTTTTAACTAGCAGGAAGAAGGATAACTGGATCAGAGCGAAAGGAAACTGCCAGCATCTTACATTCGCAGCCAGAGTAGCCGGCCTGGCCTCACTTTCTCTAAGAAAAACATGAGTCAGACCCCGTTCAAAGCTCACACCTATCACACCCCCGTTCTGGGCCCCTGAGCAGTTCCTGCAAGGTCTTCTGTGCCTCAGTTTTCTAAACTGCCCTGTGGCCATGCAATCAGATGCTGCATAGACCTTCCATCTGAAGCACTCCCAGGGGGCCTGGACACACCTGCACTGAAGGGCCTGCTATTTCTGCAGTGAGCAATGCACGCTGCATGGAATAAAATAAGACTACAGCAAGCCCTCATCTTTTCAGTTCTAACACCAAATATATTATCAAGCCCAACTGGGCAAATAAACCACTTCTGACTTTCAGAATGCACATCACTTTGGAAGTGCTGATAAGGACAAGTGACGGTACCTGCCTCGGAGGGATTTGTGAGGTCTGGATGCAGGTGTGTCCATAGGTCCAGGACTGTGCTGACAGACAGCAGAGGCTTGTGATGGGGAACCAGCACTATTTCTAAATGCAAATTCTGATCTTGGTAGTAGCTTTGAACTCTGATGATTCCTCCATGCCTTCAAAATAAGTCCCAATTCCTGCGGGTGGCACACAGGAAGGTCCTTCCAAACTACACACCGGCCTTGCAGCTCAGTCCTATTTCCTGCCATGACCACCGCACACTCTTGGATGTGGTCACCAAGAGATAACTGTGGATCTCTATTCCCTCTGCCTGGAACAGGATGCACAACCCTCCTTCCTTTGCAGACCTCTTCTCTAGCCAATGCCATTTCTTCGGGGGGTTGTCCATGGACCCTGGGCCTCTCCCCAGGACACTACTCTGATCCTCGCTTCAGCGGTCCACCCCTCTAGGAACCCCATCCCAGTGTTATCTACCACTGGCCTAGCAGGGCCCAGCACACACAGGAAGTGTTCAATAAATGCTTGCTCGATGAATGTGGGTAGTTAGTGCTCTGTTTCTTCAACACATCAAGGGCCATAAAAACCAGTGAATCAACAGTTACACGTTGGCAGGTGCTGATCCCTGTTAAATCTCAGGGCCTGGCACTTGAGAGATACGGTATTGGTACGTATATAAATGAATGAGTTAGAGGTGACAGCAGAGCATGACGAGAGTAAAATCTAACCAACGGCACCACTAGCCAGAAAAACCCCAGGATGTGTTTTCACTAAACCTCGTTTGAGTGACGCCTGCAAAGACTGTGCTACCTTCAAGCAAGTATCACGAGCCCCAAGCACAAACAGGAACCCCAAGGCACCGACAATCCTCCCCCGGTGCGTGGTCAGCCAGGCCCTGCAGAAATAGCTGTTCCCATGTGAAAAATTGAGCTGATGTCGGGATCCCCTAGAACATTAACATCCCAGCACAGCTCCATAATCACTTTCCAAAAAGCATGATCAGCATCGTGGCGGCACTCTCAAATATCCAGCAATTTACCTGACAGGCAAGAGTCATGAATAAATTGTTTCATAGCATAAAGATAAGTGGCTCTTGTGAAATGTCTGCACCCATGTCCAGATTGCATAAATGATATTATTCTGTCTGTTGTCCTTTTCTTTAGACTCCTATGATGCCCCTGTGGTCCCAGTACCTCTCTCGCCACCCCCTCCTGCTCACACCCACCCAGGCCATATGTAAACTAGCCAGAAGAGGCCACTGCTTGCTCACACAAACTCAAAAGCAAGATGCAGAAGTCAGATAGGAACTGGGGCTGCAGTGCTTCCCTCTTTCACCACAGGCCCTCAAGGTTACTGACTTCAAAAGCAGTGATTACAAAACATGAGGTTTTGCCTTCAGCTTTGAGGAAACGTCAGTAGCCCCCATTTTCCAGAGTCTTTTAACTTTTGGAATATCGCCTTTTAAGACCAGTCACTGTATCCAGGAAACACAGTTTCATTCAATAAACATCGGTCATTTCCTCCAAATTCCCACAGTCGTCACTAACCTTTTAAACTTTTAGGATTGTAAAGATGCTAAATTTTGAAACAGATACCATCTCTAGTCCAGTCACACAGCCCTGGGAAGATGAGGGAGGACGGTGGGGAGTCCTGGCTTATACTTCTGGGTTCATCAGCATTTTTGTGATTCTCTACGGGACTCAGCTTCCTCTTGGAAAAAATGACTAAGTGGGATCGCACCAGTGATTCCCAGCGTGTGGACACTACAAGAGGACAGTACAACACAGGCAAGGCTCTGGGGAAGTGCTTCAGCTCTTCGTTTAATTCGTTATGCCAAGTGATATTGGGTTTCCATTTCCTTTAAAATAAGGCACCCCAGGGGTGTTTTGAAAGTCACTTTGGGGGAAATGCAGTGTAGTAAATAAAGTTCAGGTGGTTCCCTACTGCTATAGGGGGCTGGTACTGTACCAAAGAGGTAGGACAAGCAGAGAATGGGAGAGGGAGAACCCCTGGAGATCTGCTTGAAGAAGGGAGTCCCGGCACCAGGACCGCGGTAACTAGTGGCCAGTCCTCCCGGCTTGGAAACTGACCTGGGAGCCAAGAAACTCCCCTGCGGTCCTGTCCCTTCCGAAAGCAAATTCCCACAAAGGAGAGGCGAGCAGGGTCGCCCGCAGGAGTTGTGCAGAGGGACGGGGGTCCCGAGAAGGAGGGGGGCCGTGGGGCGAAGAGCTGCGGCGAGCGGGCAGCGGTGGGGGTTTCCAGAACTGGAAAGGCGGGGCAGGCGCAAGAATCCGAGCAGGGGACGCCCCTCTCCCCGGAGGGACGCAGTGGGACCCGAGTATAGGACCTTAAGTGGACCGTGAGGTTACCAAAGTGGAGGGGGCGGCAGGACCCCGCGCCCCAGGCCTGAGGGGAGCGGCGGGGATCTGGACTGGAAAGCCCGTGAGTAGGTACTGGGGATCCCCAGCGGGCCAAAGGCGGCAACGGGCCGCGCTCCAGGCCCCTCCACGGCAGAGCCCGACCGGGTCGCGGACCCCCGCCCCCGCCCACTCACCCCTTCTGCGGCGGAGTCCGGGCCGTCCCCGCCGCACCGGGGCTCCGCGCACCCCGCGCCGGCCCTACCTGTCCTCGCTGGCCGTGATCACGCCGTCCTCCTGGGGGATGAGCAGCGCGGCCGTGACGGTGTCCTGGTGGCCCTCGATCTTGCTCAGCAGCACCGGCCGGCTGCTCTGCGGCCTGGAGTGTATCTCCGCCGCCATGTTCGCGCGGCGGCAGCAGCGGCGGCGGCGGCCTCCCCGGCCCGCGGCCCATCAGCTGACGGCCCCGCGGGCGGGGTTGAGCGGGTTGCACTGGGGCTCCCCGCGCCGCCGTAAACTCCCGAGTGATGCGCCCACCGCCCGTATTGACTGGAAGCGCCGCGCAGTTTGAAATGACGCGGCGGGGAGGAGGCCCCTGAGTGGAGAGGGTGGTAGGGAAGGGGTGATTGCGAGACGTGGGGAAGTTACAGAGGTTGGAAAATAAAATCCTCCATCCAGGAAGGATCCAGAAGCTGGAGGGGACGAGGATGAGGAATTGTCTCCCCAAACCAAAGCCTTGGAAGAGAATAATTCTACATTGAGTGCATGCTAAGAAGCCATTGCTTGGAAGATAACCCCAATCTCAGAGATGCTAAAGGTGTGCAAAATTGAAGTACAATTTAGGATCGTTGTAATATAGCAGGTGACACTCATTGTGGTGTCCAATACGAGCAACTACCTAATTTCTTTACATACATGATCATATTGAATACCGATGACAGTCTTAAGAGATGGAAAAATAAGTACTCTTGTGTTCTCATTTGAAATATGGGAAAAACGGACCAAGGAGAAGTTAAATCACTTGCTTAAGGTTCCTTACATATGAGAAAGAGAAACACAACCCTTGCCTTAAGGTTGCGGGCCCGACAACGTGAATATCGGCGCTGGGAATCCTGTTGCTGAGCGCTGGCCTGGAGCTCACAGCTCCTTCCTGTGGCTGGTAAATATCAGCATCATCACATCTGACACCACCCAAAACATGAACGCTGTCCAAACCACAAAAATAACCAAACTTCCCTGTTATGGTTAGTGAGAATGACTCCTGTTTCTGTAAAATTACAATTTTTAGCCTTTGTCTGATCTTCCTGTATCTAGACAAGATTGAGTAAGACATCCAGTCATAGAATCCTGTTCCTAGCCTAGCAATATGTGGTGTGATTCTCCTCATGCTGGGCATCAAGCCACTGGGGTCACAAAGTTAGACATAGCCACTGCTTTCTAGACTATTTTTCACTTTCAATACAGTGGTTAGTAAATAACATTAGTTATTTAACACTGTATTGTAAGAGGCTTTCTGATAGGCGATTTTGCCCAAATTTAAGCTTAACATGTGTTCTGAGCACACTTGAGGTAGATTAGGTTAAGGTATGATATTCGGTAGGTTAAATGTATTAATACATTTTTGGTTTATGATATTTTTAATTTATGATGGCCTAATAGGAATATACTGCCATTGTGAATCAAGGAAGATCTGTATTTTGCATACAGCATATTGACATACAAAAGCCAATCGCTATCCCCTCTGAGCTATCTTACAGAATTTGCTTCAACTAGACATCTATTAGGTTGTTCTTATAGGTGCCAAACCCTTATTTCCTCTCTCCTTTCCCAGGGCAATCTTATAGACTGGGATGAATCACTCAGAGAAAGGTTAATCTCAGAGATTTAAACTGAGTTATACAATCTGTCAGAGAAAAACCAAAACTGGAGAGTATTCAGGAACTATTGCAAGAGAAGAAAAGAGACCTAGGAACTGAGCTCATTTCCTAGTGCAGCAAGGACAGTGGGTTTTACAGTCAAGCAGTATAGGGATCTGTGGGTGGAAAATTACTAAGAGGATCATCAGAAGGAAGGGGGACTCTGGCTAAACCTCTTGTCAGAGTTTTTGCCAAAGGTAGGCCAGGGTGATATCACCTGCTGGGTCATGGCAAGTGATGGCTTTAATCAGATATTGGGGTGATCAGATATTGGGGTGATCAGATATTGAGGGTGAAGGAGTCTCTTTGACCTGTCTTAACAGGATTCTTGCTGAAACTGGGTCAAGCAAGTCTGATAAAAACAGAAACGAAAGCCTAATGGGTAAGCCTAATTGAGAAAAGGACTTAGAGTAAGCTAACTAATGTTTGGTCAAGAGGAGAGCCTTTCTTAGATCCTGACACTGGAGATTCTTGAGCTAAGTAGCAACACGCCTGGGTCCGTGTTTCAGGGAGATGAATGGAGGGGAGCTGAGTCCAGGGAAGGTAGGACAGGCAAGGCCAGTCCCCAGGCTGTTTAGAATAGCCTGCAGGGAGGGAAGGTAGCTGCTGTGGAAACAAATTCAAATATTGGCAGCTGGTCAAAAGAGTAGGTTTGGAAACAGAAACAGCTGAAGACACAGGAACATACCGTGGTTTCCTTCAGGGGATGCTGATGTCCTTAACAAACAGACCACACAGAGAGGCGCCCCTTGGGCATCTACTGTTCAGTGGGAAACTCAAAATTGGGGATTTGGAGATAACTTTCTTTGTGTACTAATAAAGAAATTTTATTAAAAACTTGGTAGGAAAGCGATAGAATATAACGATAGTGCTTAAAAGAGGAAGAACTTAAAAAGGACTTAAATCTACTCTTTCCATTTTGATGTATTTTTCCAGAGCCCTATAAACAAATCTTTTGGCTTCTAAAAAAAATAATTGAGACAATTCTTCCTTGAGCGCTCCCAAAAGGAAGCTTTTGAGTTACGTGCTGGATAAATATTTACTCATAAAAGGTGGATAGATCGATGGCCTGGAATTTAAAACTAAAGATATTGATAGAAGGGTTTCTTTTTATGAGAATGTTTTCTTTAAACTGAATGTGAAACAGGTTATTTTTTGTTTAGCTTCAAAGATAAAGTAAGGGGGAGGGACGCAATGGAGAGTAAAGTAACTCCTTCCAGGAACTTCTGGATCCCAAAGTCCCCTCAAACCCTGCTCACCCAGGAATAATTCAACGTTGGCAAGAATAGTTCCCGGCTGCCCAGCCAAACTCAGGGCCAGCCGCCCCGCCCTCCGCGGATTGGCCCCGCCCTCTTCATCTGGCCCCGCCCCCAGCATCCGTCCGCCTCCCAATTCCGGCGTCACGGTGTAACTGGGAAACCCGACCGACTACCTTCCTTCCGCTCTCCATTACTTGCCCCCTGCCATGGCGTCTGGGCTGGTGAGGCTGTTGTCGCGTGGATCTCGCTGCCTCCTGACCCCCGCGGTCCCCCCAATCGCCCCACCGGTTCGGGGAGTGAAGAAGGGGTTCCGCGCCGCCTTCCGCTTTCAGAAAGAATTAGAGCGATGGCGCCTGCTCCGGTGCCCGCCGCCGCCGGTGCGCCGGTAGGAGCGGCCTCGGGAAGGGGTCGGGTGGGTTGACCCCTGGCCCCCGGCCTCGCCCCGGCGGCGGGGAAGGGGCTGCTCGCTCGTGCCGGTCTGCCTGGAGCCTACCTAGGAGGTTTGCCACAGACAGCCGTGGAACGTGGACGCCTGCCCTGGGCGAAGGAGAGGGGCTTCTAGCGCGGGGTAGAGCGCAGGGCTGCCCCCCAAGCGCCAGGGCCCCCCTTTAGAGTCCTGTCAGCTGACAGTTGTTGCACTGAGGCGGGCTGCAGCGGGACCTGTATGTGGGTGTCGTAGCGCCTGTTGCCTGATGCTGGGGGATTCTTTGCGATTTAGTGCAAGAACAGCAGCTTGATACCACCACACGTCTGCTGTCCAGTTACGGGACAAGCGTTAAGGCTTTTGCCCTAATTAATTTTGTCACATTTGGAGAAAATTTGGTAGAAAGAGACATCATTTTTTTTTTTAGTTCCAAACGACATGGTGCTGTTCTTGGCAAAGATCTTTCGCTTTGTGTGTCTTGGACAGTACAAATAGATGCATCTCTCTTTGGCTTCCTTTAAGGGCACCGGGGTCCCATCGGTGTTACTGTTAAAACCAATGACAGTGAAGTGACCAGTGAAGTTATTAAACTTGGGCATTAACTGTGCGTTTTGATACCTGTTCTTATTGTTCCCTCCAAATAAAAGCTGTTCCAAGTTTACACCTACCAGTAGGAATATGTTCATATTCCTTTACTCTTTCAACACAAAATATTATGTTCCCCTCTCAATCTGGGTGGGGGGGGAATACATTCATTCACATTTCTTTGATTATTATGAGGTTACTCATCTTAGGCTTTTATATTTGAAACAAACTTTATGGATTATATAAAGGGCCTGTGACTTTCAACCAAGATCTTTTTATCTTTCTGCCCCCGCTTTTACATATATATGTATATATATATATGTGTGTGTGTGTGTATAAAAGATTTTAATTTAGGCTTCCTGCCTTTACTTTTTTTTTTTTTAAAGAACTTTTAGTTAAGAATCTTGAGAAAGATTATAAACTTGGTATCTACTTAGAATATTAGTGCCCTATTATTTAATTGCTGATTCTAATGGGTATTTTCAGAACTTAATAAAATGCAAAAGAAACATAATAGTGTACTGAGCATTCATGCCTGCGTCTCTGAGTATAATTTGTTTTTCATAGAAAGCATAGGTAAAAAATAAGGTACTTGAAGTGAGGAATAGTCACAGTCCTCTGAGGCTGAAGAGCCACTATAATGTGTCAACCAAAGGGAAAATAAATTGAACCACAAATGTAGCAAAAATATCATAAGCAAATTAAAACCTGACATTAAAATAAAAGTCTTTCATTTCCTTTATATTCCTAGCAAAATTGTGGGGCAGTGATCAAATTTTATAACATAAGTGGTAACATCTTTTTGTCTTTACCTCTTACTGTCTTTTCAGTTCCGAGAAGCCCAACTGGGATTACCATGCTGAAATACAAGCGTTTGGACCTCGGTTACAGGAGACCTTTTCCTTAGATTTACTCAAAAGGGCATTTGTTAATAGCTGCTATATCAAAAGTGAGGAGGCCAAGCGGCAAAAGCTTGGACTAGAGAAAGAAACTGTTCTTCTGAATCTTAAAGATAATCATGAACTATCCGAACAAGGGACATCTTTTTCACAAGCTTGCCTCACACAGTTTTTCAAGGATGCGTTTCCCGACTTGCCCTCGGAAGGCGTTGAAAGCCTCGTTGACTTTCTCATGGGTGAGGAAGTCGTGTGTCATGTGGCCAGAAACCTGGCCGTGGAGCAGTTAACTTTGAGCGCGGACTTTCCCGTGCCCCTGGCGGTGTTGCAGCGGACCTTTCTGGCGGTGGTCGGTGCCCTGCTGCAGAGCAGTGGACCTGAGCGGGCTGCACTTTTCCTCCGGGTAGGTAACAGCGAATCGCACCCGCCAGCGGGGCTTGCGGTGGATGAAGAATTGTCTATCATTCATCCCTGTTAGACGACCACTGTGCAGCCATCCCAGGCGTAGTAGGTTCACCGTCAGTTCTAGCAATTTGAAGGGGAATTTGGAGCCCTTGGCTTCCTTTTCACCGGGTTTACTGGTAAGCAGAGGAAACAAGCCAGCAGGGAGACCGCCACTTGAGCCCCCTGGGAATCTCTAGACTCTTCTCTGGGCTGCCCTGGCGTGGCCTTGCCTTCTCATTGCCGCTCCGCTGGAGCAGGCTGAGTGACGCCACCCTTATATCCCTGACCTGTAGGCTCAAGTGTGCACATGCGCACACACCCACGCTCAGGTGTCCATAGTCAGTTCCTCATGTCCGGCACCCACGTGCCCTCTGCATTAGCAAGATCAAGGCCGCAGGTGAGTGCCACAGAGGCAGTGGCGTGATCAGAAGCCTGATCATCTTCCTTTACGATGACCTTGGAAGATTATATGTGAGTTTTTCTTACACTAAAACTGAGTAATCCTAAAACATTTTATGAAGGTGTCATAATTATTCCAGTCGTCTCTCCCTGAGGACAGTAGCAGAGATGAACATGCAGTTGTAAGTTGTGAGCTCATCAGCACTGCAGGCCATCCTGGCTTACCTCAGGGCCTTGGCCAGGCCCCGCACAGGGAGTGGCGAGGCCAGAGGCCACTGCTGGAGGGCCCAGCGTAGTAAGGGAGCTTCATGTAGGTGCTCCCGTTTTGCTCTCTTCGTGACAAGACCCTGGATTTCTGAGTCGCCGTGATGTACACCTCACTCCTTGCTAGCCGGACCTTAGTCGGTTAAAATACTTCGGTGACTGGTATGACTTGACATCCCGTCCTTTCAGACTTAACTGGGGGAATTTTCATCCCTGCAATTAGAAAACCTGAGTTTTTGATCATTCTTACATAATGGAGAAACCACACAATTATTTTTAAGAAAAAAACAAAACAAAACAAAAAAACCTGATTCAGACATTTGAATGTCCAGCCCTTTAAACCAGAGTCCCTTGCTGTTAGTATCTGTTCATTTAGTTTTTTTTGAACTGGGGTACAGCCCTGATTTGCAGGGGTAGTGAGAGGATTCACTAGAGACAGAGCGGGGAGCAGAGCAGGCAGATCAACAAAGTACACTGCTGAGGGGAGCAGCAGGTGAGCCAGGAGAGGTCTGCTGCGCCATGTGGGTCAGCTCCGGGGCCAGGGATCGAACTCGAAGTGGCTGCAGCCAGCTTGCAGTGCTGTGTCCTAACCCTTTGCGCCACCAGGGAGGGCCCATGTTCACTCAGTTTTGTTTATGACGTTGATCATTTTGACGGCAATGTTGTGTAAACCAACACTCAGGCTCACTTATAGACCATCCAGTTTTCTTCCTTCCCAGCTAGAGCCTGTTCTAAGGGGCCACCTGTCTGCCTTGGAAAGCAGCTGCGTTAACTGAGCCCTGTGAAGTGAGGCCTTAGGGATAGCAGAGGAGAGAGCAGGTTTTTTTTTTAACTCGATTTGATGACTTTGAGCAGCATTAGTGCTCTCCGAGCTTGGTTAACGTGTAAAACAGACCCAGTGGGCATTGTGTGCCCTGCTGCACTTTCAAACTGCTCCTGGCCTGGGCATTAGCTGCCCCCTCCCTTTTCAGCTACTGAGTTCCCGGATAGGGTTTCTTTACAGATGACTTCCCTTCTGTTCAGCCCACACCAGGTCTCAAGGATTTCTCCATCTTTACCAGCATTTGCAAGCGTCACTACAGGTGGCTCTGCCAGCTTGCGCCCCTGAGCCGAGCATGTGTGCCGGCTGGAGTTGGCTGCTTGTCTTGCTCAGATGGAGTCTTAGAACCATTAGGCGACTTTCGTTTGTCCTCTGAGTCAAGAGCTCTGCTGTCTCCCGACCTCCAGTTGTCCTCTCCATTCTTACACCCACTATTTATTGCCCACAGGGCGCTGGCACCTGAGCTGAATAGGGAATAGTTCTTACCTTCAGGGGCCCCCCTCACAGCTCATCAGGCAGAGGGTGTGGAATGGGGGAGAGGGGGTCCTCTCCTGGACAGGGTAAAGGTGGAGCGTAAACTCAGCAACAGCCAGCTCCAGAAGGTTTAAGGCAAGTTGTAAGTGAGCAAGACTTGATTCTGAAAAAGACATTGCAGGAAGAAGCCTTGAGGGCAAGCTCGAGCTTGGGAACTGCAACAGATTTTGTGTGGCCAGATCCTTCTATTGATGGGGAAGCCCTGTCCTCATCACCCTTCGAAGCTGTGCTCTGAAGGCTTTCTGGGAGCTGGTTAGGGATGCAGATTTCAGCATTCCCTCAGATGACTAACCTGGAAGCTTGGGGAGCGGGAATCTGCTTCAACAACTCTCCAGGTGATACTGCTGCATCTATTTGAGAGATTTAAGCAGCACTGTTCTTAGCCATGTTTACAAGAATGTGTTTATTGGGGTTTTTTTTTTTGTTTGTTTTTTGGCAAACTTTTTTTTTCTTTATGGTAGTTTATTTTTACATCATTTTGTACATTTTTTTGTTCATCTCAATTGTAATCCCCGTGTGTTTCCCACCACCAAGTCACCCATATGCCATCACCATGTTTCCTGGTTTTTAAAGGCTTATACAGAGACAGCTGGTTTTAAGTGCGAGGTTCTCATAACCGGATGTGAAGCATCAGTTTTTCATACTGCTTCCCATTCTGAGAGAAGAGATTGGAATATTCAGCCCACCCGCTTTCGAAAGGTCTAGTAATAAAGTAACAAGACCAGGAGCCATTTGGAAAAACAAAAAGAAGCATAGGTAATCGCCCAGAAAAACTTCTGTTTTCCTGCTCAAGTCTTAGGTATTGTTTTTCCTCATTCTACAAAGAGTTACTATGGCTAGTAACAGTCCAGTGATTCCTACACACATGAACAACGGTCGGGTCTTAAAATGCATTCTGTTCCTGTGTGGTAAGAGTCCAACCCCTCACTGCGTAATGGACTTACACATATTAATGAAACTGAAAGGTCTCTGGTGCGTGAACTCAACTGTGAGCTGAGACATCTTTTCGTTTCTCTCCTTCTGCCCCATTTTCCCAAATTGTTAATATCCTCCATGTGTTTTTTGACTTAATTGCAGTATGTTGTAAAATTAATGTGCCCGTATTTGTTATACCACATAGATACCTTTTTACTGACAAACTCTTTTCTATTTTGAAAGTTCATAATTTGTGTCTCAGTTTTCTAAGTTTCAAGTCAAATAGTTTTAAAAAACTGTGAAATTATTTTTTGAACAACTTTTTAAATCATGAACTTACACAGTGAAGTACTATTATGTAGACTCCACATGTGTTTTTAAAAACTTTTGTTGGAATTTCCGCCAAAAGTTATTATTGTTTATTCATTAATTTTTAAAACTTGGATCTTCTTACTGATTGGAATGTTCTAAATTTTCAAAAAAAATTTCACATTCAACTATGACTTTTGTAATAAAATTTATATTAAAAACTATTGGAAATGAAAATATTACATCTTTTCGCTTTTTTAAATGTATATTAAAAGAATACTTTGAATTATGGTTCTCATTTTCTTTATATCACTTTAAATGTGTGAATTGTGTTTTTATACGCAGGACTTCTTAATCACTCAAATGACTGGCAAAGAGCTCTTTGAGATTTGGAAGGTGGTAAACCCCATGGGGCTGCTGGTGGAGGAACTGAAGAAAAGGAAGATTTCAGCTCCTGAATCTAGACTTACTAGGCAATCCGGAAGCACCACAGCTTTGCCTTTGTACTTTGTTGGCCTATACTGGTTAGTATAGCTTTAATCTTAACTTCATACCATTGGTGAGAAGCCTTAAATACTGACTTTTCACAAGTCCTTAATAGACCTCTGATTGTATTAAAAAAATTCAAAAAAATTCTCATCCCCACTGATTATCTGTGTGCTGCTTCCTGTCCTGGTGCTCCCTGTTAGGGGAAGGTAAGTGGTCTCTGGTTTGTGAATGGCTATGCTGGCCATGGTGGAATGTGAGGGAGCGCATGTCTAAGTTTTTCTGCATAAAAGAAAAGTTCCGGCACTGTGTTACAGGTAACCCCGATCCACACTTGCAGTGGCTGCTACTGAGCCTCGGACCAGAGGGCTTAGTGCCCATCGGGATGTGTACATCAGCCCCCGTGAAAGCTTTTCAGTTTTGTTAATTAAAAACTTGACCCGTCCCCAATGGATGTCAGGTGGATTAAAGTATTAAATGTAAACTAAGATGACTAGGTTAAAAATTAGGTAAATGTTTCTCTAGTTTTCTTACAATGTGGAAGGTATAAAAAGCAGTGGCAGGCATTGTCTAGGCAGAAATGGAATGTTGCGAACCGTTTCTGTTGTCGTTTTCATTGAGGCACACAGCACCGGCCGACCAGGCCAGAAACAGTCTCACCCGCTCCTACCCCGCTGGTAGTGGGCAAAGTGGCACAGTGTGTCCGTGAGTGATCTGACAGCTTACCAGGGATCTGTAAGAGACTCGTGTCCGCGGATTCGGCCTCTCGAGAGCTGGGCGCGGAGCTGTGAGTCCCAGCAGTTCAGACCACTCTTGCTTTCCTTCCTAGTGATAAGAAGTTGATTGCAGAAGCACCTGGGGAAAGTGTCCTGGTTGCGGAAGAAGAAGCTGCACGAGTGGCACTTCGGAAACTTTACGGCTTTGCTGAGAACAGGCGGCCCTGGGACTATTCCCAGCACAAAGCAAATCTAGGAGCAAAGGAGACCATCAGAGCCGAAGCTGCGACCGCCTGAGTGTGTGAGCAGCACCGCGGGTGAAGGCCCTGAGCCACAGCTGGGCGTTCTGACATTGCACTGAGGCCTGAAGTTAAAGACTTACTCATCCAGCCACACGTTGTTTGCCTTTTTCTTTCTGATTAGTTTTGTCAAAGTTTTTGGACATCTCTGAAAAAAATTTTTGGGAAATCCTTGATTTGTAACTGTGTAACTTGTACCATTAGGTGTACATAATCCCTTCTAGCTTTGAGGTGTCATTAGTTCAATTTATGCTTGGTGTGAATTTTGCTGGAATACTAATAAAGAACTTACTTTTGTAACTATTCCATGGACTTTTAATTGGACTTACTGAGGTTGATGAACTTAGACTGGTATTCACATGATCTTTAGATTTAGAAGTCTGTGTGCTAGTAATTGAACACTGGGGTAGAGGCCCTAGCCGCATGGTGAGTGCTGCTCACACACATCATCCACAACAAACACATGATGTGACCATCTGACACCGTAGCAGTTAAGAGAGTTTCTGAGTAGCAAAGGATGGCCAAGTGCGCTCCAGCCACACTCCCCCAGATAAGCAAATGGTCAGATCCTAGCTAGAGTATTGTTTTAGATAAATGTTTTCATCAAAAGATCTTTGCCCTTCCTGGTGGCGCACTTGGTCAGGATGTAGCACTGCGAGCTGGCCACAGCCGCTTCGGTGCAAGTTCGATCACTGCCCCAGAGGTGACCCACATGGCCCGGCAGACCTCCCTGTCTTGCCCGCTGCTCCCCTCAGCAGTGGACTTCATCAGTCGCCTGTTCTGCTCCCCACTCTGTCTCTGGTGAGTCCTCTCACCGCCCCTGCACCTCTGGCCTGCACCCTAGTTCTGTACGCATAAATAAGTAAATCATTTTTTTTAAAAAAAGGTCTTTAGAAGCTTCAGTTGCTAGCTCATTTGTCCCATAAGTAATACTGTAAGGTGACCCCAAGTTTCTTGGGGCAGCAGCCTGCAGACCTCAGAGACAAGGTTGGAAGGCAGCTATCCTTACCCTTAGAGCCTAAAGTGTTAAGTTGTAGTTTTAAAAACACCCACTAAAATGCAATGGGTAGGAATGTAGAAAATAACGTTTCTAGTTCCCTAAGAAGTAGATGAAGCAGGGAACTAACTCCTCCTGAGAGCTATTTTGCTTTCTGAGAATGAATACTGCATAAGCTTAATGTGTGAGTGAGTCGTAGCTCTAGGTACGAGGGTGTTTTTAAAGGGGTATGTGACCAACAGCATTCAGTGAATGAAGTTTTCACTAATTATTCCATGTTGAGAACACCATCCTCATGACCATAAAAAAGAAGTAGGATAGGGCCCTCCCTGCTGGTGCAGCACTGATTCCTTAGAGCTTCAGCATGAGTTCCAACCCCACCCCAGAGGTGACCCACATGGCGCAGCAGACCTCTCCTGACCCGCCCGCTGCTCCCCTCAGCAGTGTACTTCGTGGATCTGCCTGTTCTGCTCCCCACTCTGTCTCTGGTAAAGCCTCTCACTGACCCTCTGGCCTGTACCTCTGTACATCTGGCCTGTACCCCAGCTCTGTATGCATAAACAACTGTTAAAAAAAAAAAAAAAAAGAAGAGGTAGGATAAAAGAAGAACCGGTTCCTGAACTTGCCACCAGAGAAAGACATTAAAAGTCATTTAACTTGAAATGTTGCCACCTTTCCACCCTTCAGTTCCTTATCCCAAAGTATAATCACATGAAAATTCTAGCCAAAAATGTTAAGCTGATATTTACAAGCTCAGTGACCTGATTTTTTTTTTAGTGCGTCGTGTTTTGTTTGTTTTTTTTAGACTTATTTATGCATACAAAAGTGGAGTACAATCCAGAGGTACAGGGGCAGTGACAGGCTTCACCAGAGACAGAGTGGGGAGCAGAACAGGCGGATCAAGGAAGTACACAGCGGAGGGGAGCGGCGGGCAGGTCAGGACAGGTCTGCTGCGTCATGTGGGTCACCTCGGGGGCGGGGATCGGACTCGCACTGAAGCGGCTGTGGCTAGCTTGCAGTGCTGCGTCCTTACCCGTTGCGCCACCAGAGAGGGCTCTCGTACGTTTTTCTTATCTGTGTAAGTAAAATATTCTCGAGGTGTTTTATGTGGTCATGAATGGAAACGAGGGCTGTTTTGTGGTCAGCAGTGCAGATTTTGGCCGCAAGATGGTGCTATAATTGTATGCTAAAGCGCTAAATGCTGCTATCCAGGAGGATCACAGCATTGGCCACAGTGGAACAAGGCTTCTGAGGTCCCTCAGCGCCAGGATTCTGTCTAGTGCCTGCAGCAACTAGCTCACCTTCTCTTCCCTCAGGGCAAAAGTGATTATGAGCAATTCACCTCCGATGCCAAGATAGGGGACGTTTGAGTTCTTTTATACTTACTAGAGTGATGGGGAGTTGCATGGCTGTAGAAAAAACTAAAGGCTTTTTATTGGCTCCTTTTGCTATTCTTTTCTCCTATTTTTAGAATGGAGAAAATACACTGCTGAGGCAAGGGAATCAGCGTTTCCTAAAGTTGCGCAGGGAATCTAATTATAGCTCAACATGCAAATATGAATATACAATTAACATTTATCTCTGTAGCCCCTACTACTTGATATCCAATAGGTAAGTGAAGGAAAACCTGTTGTGCATGGTTCTCTTAATTACTCTAATATTACCCCTATTTTATACTCAAAATACTGTCATTGAATGGATCAGAAATCTGGAAAACCATTAACACCGGCTCTAGACTATCATACTTGCCAGAGAGCACAAAAGGCCCGAGGTAACCTTTCAGAACAGTTTTCTGGCATTACCTCTCACATAAAGGAAGCACTCTCCCCTTCCCTCCTTCTGTGGTTAACCAAAGTAGCCATATTACTAGTGGCAAACAGCAGAACTCAGCCACTTGACGAAAGTTATGAGTGGCGAAGGGGTGGGATGTTGAGTAAGATTTCATTGTAGAGCTAAAGAGTGAGCAATAGAGTTCATGGTTTTGAAACAGGCATTTGTTTTGGCGGGCGGGGGGTGGATCCACCTTGGTGACACAGTAGTTTGGAGCGCAGCACTGTGAAGCTGGCCACTGCCACTGCAGTGCAAGTTCGATCCCCAGCCAGGGAGCTGACCCACGTGGCACAGCAGACCTCTCCCGTCTCGCCCACTGCTCCCCTCAGCAGTGTATTTCCTCATCTGCCTGATGTGCTCCCCACTCTGTCTCTGGTGAAGCCTCTCACCACCCCTGCACCTCTGGCCTATACCGGAGCTCTGTATATATATATAAATAAAATCTTTTTAAAAAGCATGTTTTTAAGTTCTGATAAGCAATGCTTTAAACCCTTCCCCAAACATTTCAGAAATGGGGGTGGTGGAAACAGGTAAACCGAAACATCGAAACAGTAAAACTGGGATTGGTTCTCCAAAAACCAAATCAAAGAAAACTAGTCATTTCAAAAAAACAAACCCTCTAGGCCATCACCAAAAATGAAACACCTACTGTCCACTCATTCCCAAAATGTTCTTTAGGATTATCAGGACAGTCATGATGCATTTTTGCTTGAAAATGAGAGAGAATACTTCATGGCTTTTCCTCTACCGGGCAGTACTGGACTTCTGTGCGGGCTACAGAAACCTTAGCCGCAAACAGCACTCACCTGAGGCCACTGTGGGCTGGGAGCCAGGCTGCATGGGGGCGGGGCAGGAAGCTCCTCCTTGGAATATGCTACCAGCTGAGAAGTGTTTAGGGGTTCAGTGGATTGCCAGGGTTGGAGGAAAAGGGCAGGAGAAGCCAGGGGCTTTCTACTATTTAACTAATAGCTCGACGAGGCAGAAAGATTTGCAAGTTTCCTATATTTCAAATAGCAGAGAACTGGCACTGCTTTTTTTTTTTTTAACTACTCATAACACTTTATTTTTACTTTGTACAAAATACAAAAATGCAAATCCAGGAGTACAGACCAGCAGTGACAGGCACACCGCACGACAGCAAACTTTGCCTAGCAAGACATTAGTTTTTTAAACTTTATTTTAGTGGATACATGCATTATATAAAACAGCAACAATCATAAAAACACCAAGAGGCTAGAGATTTAGCTATTTCTACCCCCCCACCCCAATAATGCTTACTATTATCAAGACTTTGGATGGAACAAAAAAAGAATTTAAACGGCCAATAACATTTCATAAAAAAAGCTACCATAAAATGTCTTTTTTTTTTCTTGTTACGCTGATTAAATTTCTTCTGGAAAGATACACATATAAACAAAACTCCTGAACTGGACAGTAAATACTCAAGAGGGTTGTTAACCTAGGGAGCTGCTCAGTAGTTTAAAGAATCTCTGAGACATTCTGAAGCCTTTCTAGTCATTCCTCAGTACAGTATCCCAGCCAGCCTGTTCCTTTCTCCTCGGACACATCTCATCGCAGAAATGCCTGCGTCATGGAGTCTCTGTTCCTAAGAACTAGTTTCAAAGAAGAAAGCAATGTACAAAAATATTTAACAGAACTATGAAAGATGTAGGAAAGAGTCTTCATGGCAAAGTCTTCTTTGCTCTTCAAGGTTTTCCTGTATACTCTTCAGGGTTTGTTTATCTGCCCCATGAATAAGACAGCACCTAGGAGTTAAAGTGAAACAATGCATGATTCTATGAAAAATGGTCATCAAAACAAGATGGAAGAGAGACTGAAGCAGAGGCTCCTTGGCTTTGCTTGACCTATGACACAAGCAGTGTGCGTCAACAGCATTTCCTGCAGTCATGCCCAGGGGCTTCCCTCTCACTATTCAATATGGCGGCCGCTGGTCACATGTGGCCACTGAGCTTTTGAGGGGTGCTGGTGTGACTCAGAAACTGAATTTTCAGTTATATTTCTTTTTATTTACTTTTTACATCATCCCTCATGTTGTGCATCTTTTCATCTCTGTTGTAATCCCATGGACTTCCCACCACCCCTGTGACATCACCATAGTCCCATGCGCTCTTCCCACCCCATTTTGATCCTATTCCCCTCACCGTCCCCCGAAAATGTCTCTGGCTTATAGTCGTCCATTGTTTTTCATTTTATATTTCATTTCATTTATAGTTCTGAGTTCAAGTGAAAGTCACGTGTGGCTAAAGGAACAGCAGGAGGCTCTTCAGCCAGGCAGGCAGCACACAAATCACATTAGAGAAGCAGTGAAACAAAAGACAGAGGAAACAGTTTATGCTGTTGATGGAGAAAGAGTAAAAGATCATAAAATGTATTACTTTCCACGCTGTACCAACGTGTGCAGCTGACGTCTCCATCCATACAATCTTATTTTCCGTAACTGTGGTAAGGGGTGACGACTATGCTTTTCCTCCATGATGCCCACGGAGTCACCAGCTACTGAATTTGCACATTTGGGGTCCTTCGGTGGGGTGGGCCAGCAAAGGCTGAAGACGGTAGCGTCTTACAAAACTTAATGCACTTATCAGAATATGGAAAGTAATAAATGTCCAAAGTGCCCCAAAGGGCTACTAAGTTCTCACTCTACGTTAAATAAATAGCCTCTATCATCTGGTCGGTGTTTAAGAGATTCCTTCATCCTCTGTAAGACAGCCTGATGTCTCCATCTCTGCAGGGAGGTGATTCTATTATTCGAAATTGTGCAGCGGCTGACTCAGGGCTAAAAGACTAAGAGCATCCTGTGCTCTCAGGACAGCTGTGGGCTGGGACTTTCTAACTTCTGGCAACTGGTTGGTGAACAATAGAAGAAAGAGGCGAATCACTCACCTGTGGGATTATGTCGGATGAAAAATAGAAAAGGTCTGTCTACTATAAACCAGGGAGGCGATGACCTCGCAATGAGAATCGCAGCTGGAGAAGGAAAGCAAAGCATGTTACACACGCGCCCTGCATGCACACCCCTCACACACACCCGTGAGCCGGCGGCTGGCTCCTCCCCCGTGTGTTCGAGGACACACTTAAGCCCCTCTAGGAGGCTGGCCAAGTTCCAACAGGACAATGCTCACCATTTATCAAACACCTAGCTCGGGCCAGGGCCTTGACCCTGACTGCACCGTCCTCTTTAATAAACCTACTTATTCCTCGTAGGGATTTTATTAAGTGATAGCGACCCCCCTGCAGCTTACAACAGCATTTGCAACTCATTAAGCACGGACACATGGTCCCTGTTATCACAAGCTGCTTCTGACAGGCACCTTCATCTTGCTGATGAAGGTCCCTGTTCCTTTCCACCTGTCCAAATCCTTCCTGCACATCAAGCTAGCGTGTCCCTCAGCCACTGGCCAGTGCCTGCCTCCCTGGCACGTCGCCCCACTTCCCCTCACACAGGTCCCACTCATCTGGGACCTGCTGCCTTGTGCTGCTGTTCCACCACCTGGTGTTCACTCTGGACTAAGCAGTTTCCTCAGGCTCGCGGATCTCAGGCTTACTTGGCCGTGGCGGTTCTATCTGGATAAGCTGAAACAAGCCACAGGTGCCAGGCACCACTGCCCACTGCTGCCGAATGGCTCAGGCCCTTCCTCAAGCCCTGGAAAGCATTCATGGCTGAGGGAAACATCCACAGCTAGGTGGGGTGAGCCCCTCAACTGCGCTTATAAAAAGCAAATGAAAGGTTAGCATTGCATTTGGCCTGAACTGTATCTCCTCAAAATTTATAGGTGGAAGCCCGAAGCCCCACTGTGAGTTTGAGGCAGGATCTTTAAGGAGCTGTGTAACTTCATTTGGGGTGCTCCCCCAACAGGACTGATGCCCCTATAAACAGGGACGTGCCGGGGGGCACAGAGAGGGAAGGCCTAGCGAGGACGGGGGCTGAGGCGGCCATGCACCAGCCTGGAGGTTGCCCGTCCCGACGCCGGGAGCTTGGACTTTCCCACCTCAGAGGTGGGGGAGGGAAGTTTCTGTCGCTCAAGTCTCCGGAGTCTGGTGGCTTGTTAAGGCAATGCCAGCAGAGTCACCCAGCGGGGGTGGCCTCGTGGGCATGTGACCGGCGGCTGCGTGAGGCCGCCACATCTGTGCTGAGAGCCCTACACGTTTTAACACGTTGCATATTTTCCTGTTGCACGGGGCCCTGCAAATTATGCAGCCTGTCCTGGTAGAGACAATGGCTGTCCATACTGGGCCATGACTTCTAGACATCACTTAGTATCACCTAGGAAATACAAAAGCCTCTTAAAAATTCTAAGCTCTCATTCCAGCCTCTGCTTTAAGTGCTCTTTTAAAGGAATGAAAATTAAATGAAGGTAATCAAGGGCCTGTTGTGAGTATAAACGGCACCTCTTAATGAGCTGGCATATCTGACCCAGTTACCAGAAGAGCTAAGATGTTCACTTTATGAGTTCCCAGAGTTTGGCGAGATTGACTCATCCCATCTCATATGGATAATTAGGGGTGAAAAGACCCACCTAAGAGTATCCCATTTTCCCCTCCATTACATAAGCCATGGAGGAGAAAGCAGATGTAGCTGTTCTAATTACCAAGGGCTCCTCACAGCAGCCCTGGTCTATCTCAACAGTGGCTTGTGATTGCTTTGCTTTGTCTTGGAATCGCCTGACTGGCAACTTTCTGACTAGTGCCTGTAAATACTGTAGGCTTCATGTAAAGATGGGCCTTTTCTGACACTCAGGGGTCAGCCAGCTACCACCCTCGGGCCAGGGTTCAGGGCAGAACCTGGTATGACAGTTTGACAGGGCGATTCGTCTTCTGTGCTCAGATTGTCCATGACTGTTTTCACGCTGAAAATGGAGAGCTGAGACGTGTGACCCCACAGACCACAGAAGAAAGTACAGGCCATCTGGCCCCTGAGGAACAAGGCCCTGGCTCCTGTCCTGGAGTTGTTTCTCTCACTGAAGGGCTTTTCTAGGGGGCTTTGCCGGCAACAGGTGAAAGCAGAGCACTACAAAGCTCTCTGCAGCCACTGCAGCACCAGTTCAATTCCCAGTCAGGGAGCTGACCCACATGGCGCAGCAGACCTCTCCGGTCTCCCCGCTGCTCCCCTCAGCAGTGGATTTCAGTCAATCTACCTGTTCTGCTCCCCACTCTGTCTCTGGTGAATCCTCTCATCTGTATGCATCAATAACTATATCTTCAAAAAAAATAAAGTGCTTTTCTTAGCGAAACTGACTGTGAGCTCTGTGGATGCAGGGTGTCCATCTGTCTCAAATCAGCACTGCCTCTGGGGGTGCTCAACCCTTGGCCCAGCCATAGACAGCCTTTGCTACATGAATGCTTGAGTGGAGCACGCTGCGCTCAGACCTAGCCAGGCCCCATCCCGGCCCAGCCCAGCCCCAGCCAGGTCTTACTTGTGGCTGCTGAAGCTTTGGTTCCATCTTCACTGACTTCAATCTTTGCTTTTTGCAAGATGTGGGAAACGTGAAGGTTTTCTGACCCTGTTTCCAGAAAACAAAACAGAAACAGCCGTGTGTCTGAGGTGCAAGCTGTCTGCTTGGATGGGAAATAACCTCCTTCACACCACAGTGCCGGCAGATGGCCAGTGACCGAACCCAAGCGGACTTCAGGGTCACCTCGCAGGACGACTCTCGGCCCCTGTCACCCAATTCTAACCATTAAAAATTTGATCAAGTGTATAAAAAAAAAATGAGAGAGCGCAGAGCTTTGAAGAGGCAGCCCAGAGCCCTGGAAGCAAGCCAACTGTGTTATTTTTCAATTACAAAAGATAATTCCAGTAAGGGTGTCAGAGGACTTCCATAGTAGGGGAAAAGGAGCCAGAGCGTCAGGAAATCCGGCCCCCACGTCATTCGGCTAACTACTGCAGAACTTTTCACCTGAGAAACCGCTCCTCGCAGGGGCCATCAGTGAGAGAAGCAGAGAGCCAGCCTGGGCAAATGCAGCTGAGGGAGCCCACTCTCCCTCCCAGCATACCCTTAAACCCCAGCGCTGCCCGCTGGAGGCTGTGGCTAAGGGGACCCAAGAAGCAGCTAATGTCGGCCTGGGCGGGACCCAGGTCTGAAAGCAAAGGCAGCAGAAGCGACTAAGGTGCCGCCTGGTTTTCCACCGGGCCCCATGGCTGAGAGGCAGCTTGCAGGACCTAGTCACCTGCAGGAGTAGGAGACTTTCTCAGGGGAATCAGGCCTCCGGTGCTCCCTCTGAGCACGTGTGAGCTCCAGCTAGTATTTGGGCTACAGAGAATAACCCTGAAAGGCAAGAGCAGGTGTAAGCTGCCCGGAGGACTGTGGGGATGAGGAATGTGGTGAAGATGAAGACTGGGACTCTGCGCACTGGCTCAGGCCCGGAGTGCGCTTTTCAAACAGGCGGTCAGGCACCTCAGAGGCCGCTGACAGGCTGGGCTGGGCTGGGCAGGAGTGCAGGGGTCAGAGAAGGTCAGCAAGTCCACGGAGCTGTGGCCCACCCGGGAGGCAGGACCATGCAGGGCAGACTCAGGAGCCTGCCAGCTGGTGGCTGAGGTCAGAAATGAGCCGATTGCCCGCCAATCAAGGAGAAAACTCAATGGAGGACCAAGAAAGTGGGAGCCACGTTTCTTTGGAAGTTTCTGAGCTCGATGTTGGAAACAGAGAACCAGTCACTCCACATAACTGCAGGAAGAAGCCCGGAGGTTGGCAAAGGGGTACAGTGCCAGCTTGTCCTAGACACTTTGGCGAAGAAAAATCTTACTCAGACTTCTAGGGGTTGATATGATTTAAGATTACTGGGCATGAAATGCCAGCGTGCAGGGCAGGCTGCAGGGCACACCTGCGGTTGGCTGATGGACAGAAGCAAGTCTGAGCACTCCAAGATCATGGTTTTCTGAATATGAAAATGTCTGCATTGAAAAAATGAAACTAGTAGCCCATTAAAAGGCAATTTTTTTTTTTTTTTGCTTTTAATTTCCTGATCAAGGCTGTTTTACAGCCTTGTCATTTTCTGCCAGCCAACACTGCCCCCACAGTGAATCCCCTGCAGCTGTCCCACCACCTCAGCACCCGCAGCCCTCCACCACAGGCCACGGTGGAAAAGCCAGTCCCTCAGGGTAAGAGACCAGACGTGAGATGCTTCTGTAACTGGATGCAGGTACTGGGCTTCGCATGAAATATACACTGGTTCAAGGAAGATACTGTCCGTTGGGGACAGAACAGATTAAACCTTAGTTAGTCAAGGACAGCACAGTCCTAATTCTGCCCTTTTCTTTCTGAACAAATCCGAGTTTGGAACACAGGCTTCCAGCACATGCTCTTCCCATAAGCGGCCTTAGGGGAAAACAGTTTACTACTCACTTGATATAGACAGAACCCTACAAAGTCACGCAAATCCAGAGGTTCAAATCTTTGCATCTGCTGTAAGGCCACTCATGAGACTGTTCAGGCTGTCAAGGGCCCGCACTGCAAAGCCAGCAAGGGCCTGGAGGAGGTCATGCTTGAGCTGCAGCGCAGGCCACTCGTCATGACGGGGTGCAGTTGCAGGTGTGCCCTGGTGAAACTGGGGGGCTGGGGCGGGGTCAGTGGCCCACAGAGTGCTAAATGCCTACGGCCCCTGCTTAATATATAGAGTCCTGCCCAACCTGCGGGATTCTCTGGGCACTCAGCACACCGTGTGAGCGAAGGCCCCAGGCTGTGTTCACAGTCAGGGGAACCCCACAGGAGCCTCCCCACCCCCGAGAAAGTCCTTCCTGAAAAAGCGCAGACGGCCCCTAGCCAAGAAGAGGCGGCTGTACCGAGGGAAATAAGGTCCCAGAAGGAACCGGAAAAACAGAAACTTTGGCCTGGCACCAAGCTCAGCAAAAAGTAAATGGAAATAAAAGTAAACACAACAGCGTACAAAAGAGGAGGTTTTAAAAAGAGAACATACTTGTTATTTTTGCGAAATTAGCCTTCGATGGATCAAACATCTCAGTGATGCCCAGAACTCTGAGTGGCTCCTTCAAATCTGTCTGTGCTACAGCGGTGAACCTACCATAAAAGCAGAAAATAAGGGAAAATCATGATATAGAAATGATACAAAGCGACATAATTGGTTTCAGTGAACAAGTTTTACAAATAGGTGCTTCTTTAGGTACACACAGAACACCACGCTAAGACATATGCAATGCTGTCAAGCAACGCTATCTCAGTAAAAATTCAAAAAACTGTCAACTACATAAATTGTATCTTACAATTTAATCCCAAGATTAAACTGAGCAGGTAACAGCCCTCTTGCGAACCTTGGCTGAGGAAGCAAGCAGTGGACAGTGCCAGAGGTGGGTCTCCTGCTCCTGCTGGGGAACTTGGGACCCCCGCGGAAGCAGTTTCTCTTCTGTTGGTGGGGACAAGATGGGATTGGCAAGGTGCTGGAACTCTGGAACATCTACACCCCCGCCACCCCTTTTCCAGTCAAAGAACCACCATGCTTACTAGGCCTGGGGATGGTCGAAAGAGAGGAGATACACTCTTCTCTTTCTGTTGGGATTCTGAAACCATCTCAGTCTTAAAACAGGGGCAAATATTAGGAGCAGGTGATACGATATTGTATCTGGACATAATAAGGGCTCTTGGCTAGCTGAAGGCTACTGACCTTGTGGCCCACATATGTAAAATGTCAGTTATCAAAGTTATCATCAGAGGGTATTTTACCAGGCTTCAGCTCTTCCTGAGAGACCAGTAAATGTAGGACAGGAGATTCTCCTCATGGAAGGGTTAACGTGGTAATCTGGCATTTTCGCTGTAATTCTTCCACAATGTCACTGTGTTATTCATTTATATCAAGCGTTGGCTATGTGAAGGGTCATTTTACAATAAAACTTAATCATAGGAGGATTACTAGTAATTATTATTAATGTACTGCTCTGATCATTTAATCCAGGGAGTGGAGAATGAAAAGCGATTAGAACTAGTAGGTATCTCTACCACTACTGAGTCTGGGTGGGGAAAGCCCTGGATACCCCCAGAACAATAATGGTGAAACTCACAGAAAGGGGATATTCATGTTGCCTTCATGATCTGAACAAAGCATTTTCTGGCCTGTTAGTATTCACACAGAATTTCTGATAACTTTTTCCTTGGTCTGAAGTCATAACCACTCAAATTTCACCTCTATTATATTTATAGGGTATAATAGAAAAACTGTACCGGATACTAATGGAAGTATTCTGCCTGGTGGAAAATAGTATCCTGCTTTCTCAAAAAAATGAGTAGAAACACCATAGGATTTAGCCATTCCACTTCTGGGTATATTTCAGAAGGAAACGGTATCTGTATTTTAACGAGATAGCTGTATACCCATACTGACTGCACAATTATTTACAACAGCCAAGAAATGGGAAATCTCTGTGTCTGCTGATGGATGAATAAAGAAAAGCAGTCTATAGGTGCGGTGGAGTATTATTCAGCCATAAAAAGATGGAAATCTTGCCACATGTAACAACATGGATGCACCCTGAGGGTACGATGCAAAATTAAATAAATCGAGAAAAACAAATGCTAGATAATCTTACTTACATGTAATATCTAAAGAAACCAAACTTAAAAAGTGAGATTGGTGGTTACCAGAGGTAAGGGGGAGAGAGAAGCATGGTGTAAAGATGGTCAAAGAGTATGAACTTGCAGCTATATATGAGTAAGCTCTAGGAATGTAATACACAACATGAGGCCCACAGCTGGCAGAACTGAATCCTGTATCTGAAAGTGAGGAAGAAGAGCAGAATTTAGGTTCTCACTCACACGAAAGTGTAACTGTGTGAGGTGATGGATGTGTTAATGCACTTTGCTATGGTAATCAATCCCCAATCTATACATATATCAAGTCACTAAGTCACACACCTTAAGTTTACACAATATTATATGTCAGTTATATCTCAAAGAGAGGGGAAGTAAAGAATTCTGGGCCTCCCAGGTAGCGTAGGGGTTAACTCCAGTGATATCTGCAACGTGGTCTGAGTTCGATTCCCTGCCAGGGAGCTGACCCCCACGGCACAGCCGACCTCTCCTGTCCGGCCCAATGCTCCCCTGAGCTGTGTATTTCAGTGGATCCACCTGTTCTGCTCCCCACTCTGTCTCTGGTGAATCCTTTCACTTTCCTGCACCTCTGGCCTGCACCCCAGTTCTTCTATGAAAAAAAAAGAAAAGAAAAGAAAGAAAGAAAAAGAAAAGAATCTGCCTGGTTAACTTCAAAATATATCTTGACCACCTTGGTTTTAAACCGTGGTCTGCAGCCATTTCCAGCTACAACTGAAGGAGAAACTAACCCGAGCTGCTAATCAGAACACAGTGGGCATGGCTAGGCATGCTGGATTTTCATCAGCTGTTGGAAGGTCTGTCAGTCTTTGGAGTAGACTGAGATATGTAGGAAGCCCTTCAGTGGCCATGGTGGCTGAGGGAACAAGCTGCCTGTTTCTCCTTGCCCATAATCATTCTCAAGCCACACAGGAGTCAGGGCCTGGTGTTCCCACCATGCAGTTTCTGCAAAATGAAACAGGTGCCATGATGTGCTCTGTGACAGCCTCTCACTGTGGCTCCTTCTGAAACAAGGGCTGCCATTGGGGGACTTGCATCACTCCTTGGGACAAAAGGCACTTACTTGGGTAGAACCACCTGCACCCGCTTGGGCACCATGGTGCTCATCCAGCTGTCGATGGTCTTGGAGCTGATGTGCGGGATGATGGCAGACAGCGGGGTGGAGCTCTCGGTTGGCAGCGCAATCAGCATGCTGACGCTCTCCCCGTGGTAAGGCAGCTCGATGAAGTTATACCACAAGTCCCCGGGGGTGCTCGTCGACCCTGAGGGAATCAGAGGGAGGTTCAGTCTTTCCCTGGTGCCTTCCAGAAATGGTAGCCTCAAAGGAAGAGAGCAGGGTAGCTTCAGAGGGAAGAGAGCACTGGGGAATGTTTGAGAACATTCCTTCCCCAAACAGAGCTTCTTTGGGCCCGCGACAAAGGACATGCATTTCTCCCTTCTCTGGAAAAGGACTCTTTCTTCTGTTAAGACATGTCTGTTGGGCACTTAGCACCGTCAATAGATGCAGGTACCACTGTCCCCCGTAGTGTCCTGAAGTGAGGAAAACTGGTTAGCTGGGACCACCCCAAGGGTCCCCAAAGAATCCGAGTGTAAACTCTTTCATCCCGTGGAAAACACACCACACATTTCACAGCGAAGGAACAAGGCTGAGCACTGATGGGTCACAGGGTCATAGGCAGGCAGCTGATGAGGTAGGCAGGTGGCCAGCTCCCCGTCCTGCTGTGGGTTCTGTGACCCTGTGTCCTGGCCTCACCTCAGCACCCTCACCCTGAGTGTATCCTCATCTTTCCTTATATCCTGATTATAAAATGGCTTCATTTTCAGAAATGAGCACGTCAGTGGAAAGCTAAAGGAGACAGTCCCTTCCTGATGTGCCCTTAAATCATTACAGGAAACAGGATGATGTCCTCGCCTGGGCTGAGCCGGCTCTCAGGAATGGGGGAAGGCATCCATTAAAACGTGTGTCGTGACATACACCTGAAGAGGTGAGCCTACCTGCCCAATTACGCACAACGTGGTAGGCCAGTTACTTCAGTCGAAACAATGCAGAGTAAGAATGAATAAGTTAATAATAATCAATTGCTGCAGGACCTGAAATGGGAACCTATAAGAATCTGGTGAGCATTGTTTTGATGAGAAGAATGGGGGTGGATAAAGAGAGACTCTGAGGTGGGGGAAGGGAGGTCGCTACCACCAGGCAGGCCAGCCCGGACCAGCCCGCGTCACTGACGGGGAGGCACACTGGGGGCCGCCGGCCATCCCGCGTCCAGCCTCAGACACCGCCGGATGGTTCATCTCTCCCTGGAGCCACTTGGGCTTCCAATGGTTGGAGCCCCGCTCTCAGCTCCTCCAGGCTTACCCTGATGTGGACCCAGGGCGCCTCCTCTGTAGCCACCTTGCAGAGAGGATGTGGGGGAACCTTTTGTGGACCTCTGCGGTGAATGGTGATGAGCAAAACCCTCAATGGGAAATAACAGGCCCAGAATCCAATATGTAAAAATGTGGAATTCAGAACTTTCTGTGAGTGGGGGTCTGGGCTGCCCCAGTCTCCTGGAAAGCCCCCAAAGGAACTCTTAATCAGGCCTACTCTGCAGGATGGAAACATCACCCTGCAAGGAAGGAAGTGGCTACACTCGCTGTCCTGTGAAGAATCTTCTTGGCCTATAAACTCAAGAGAATATTTTCAGTATTTAATATGGTGAAGAATTCGATGCAGCCTTTTTCAGGGGCATTATGCCAAGAAGCGCTTAGAGGACGTTTGCTTTCTGCTTTCACTGTATTTGAGGATTTTTCTGTGAGCATGAAATGCACTTCTAAAAATAACATACTTTGGGCTTTTTCTAAATGAATGTTTCTGTCCTCAAAGCTTGTGTTTTCTGTGACATTTGTCAGAGGCCACCCTCTCCCCTCCGACTGGTTACCCTCCCCTAATACTGCTACGTGAGTCTTCCCGAAGGGCTTGGGGCATCTTAGAGCACAACTCAGGAAGACACTGGAATAGCAAGGTTCTGGCAATGTGACCAAGAACAGTGAGGCTCAGCTGAGGTCCAGGAGACACAGGGCAGGGAGCCCGCGGTGGGGCAGGCTGGGCGGGCAGGGGACCCTGAAGGCCAAGGGGTCATGGACACGGAGGCCGCTCAAGGCTGCCCCCACTGTGGGGTTTTCCCCAGAGCATCCACAGGACAGGCTCCCTCTCTCTGCGTGACGGGACACCCTCGGACTCCACAGTCATGAGAGGAGCTGGGTTCCGAGTCCAGGTCACTCGGTAGAGACCCGGCAACTGGCATAGCACAGGGAGTCAGAGGGATGGCCCCAGACACGCACCGTTTACTTGAGAGGGGATGAGAACCATAGAGGCTGAAGAGGGGCCTTCCACCGGCAATTCTGAATTCACTACAGGTCAGCCAGGGGTGGCAGGAAACAACAGGGCGCCAAACTGGCTCCTTTAAGTGCAGGTGAATGATGGGATGGCTTACAAAGTTCAGTACAGAAGGCACCATTAAGGATGTCCCCAGCCGGGGCGCCATGGCTGGCTGTAGGCTGGAAAGGGGAGGGGACGGAGAACCCAGAGAAGGGGCTCTTGGGCACCCCCTGCTGGTGGAGGGAGGAGCAGCCCTGGTGACTGTGGGGCCCCAAACCCTTATGCACCACTATCTGGTTCCCCCACAAAATAATCCTACAGGAAGCCAGGCAGAGAAACCCCACAATGCATTGCCTCCTGGGGGTTCAGAGCAGTATGGAAGAGAGGGGAGAAAATAAAGCCTGAACCAGGGGAGACTAGAGGAGTGGACAGGTCCACTGTAGCTTAATAGAGTGGGGATCTTTGACAGTAAAGCACATGTGCATTATTTTCCCTAACACACACGTACTGCTGGGAAAGCCGTTCTTCAGGCCCTCCCTGGTGGCGCACCGGGTTAGGACGCAGCAAGCAAGGCAGCCGAAGCCGCTTCAGTGCGAGTTCGGTCCCCACCCCGGAGCTGACCCACAAGGCACAGCACACTTCTCCTGACCCTCCCACTACTCTCTCAGCAGTGTACTTCATCAATCTGTCTGTTCTGCTCCCCACTCTGTCTCTGGTGAAGCCTCTGTCTCAGAGGAGCCACCCCTGCACCTCTGGCTTGTACCCCAGTTCTGTATATACCAAGAAATAAATTGATTTTTAAAAAATTTAAAAAGAAGGACCTCCTGGTGGCACAGCACTGAGAAGCTAAAGCCATTTCCGCAAGAGTTCGATCCCTGTCTGCCCCGGAGGTGACCACATGGCGCGGCAGACCTCTCCTGACCGCCCGCTGCTCCCCTCAGCACTGTACTTCGTCGACCTGCCTGTTCTGCTCCCCACTCTGTCTCTGGTGAAGCCTCTCACTGTCCCTGCACCTCTGGCCTGCACCCCAGCTCTGTATGCATAAATAAATAAATCGTTAAAAAAAATTAAAAAGAAAAACCTGTTCTTCATGGAAGAGCTACCAGAGACACGGCCCCTCTCCGGGAACTTGCTGTGTACTCGGAAAAGCCCATCTCATCCTGCGCGGACAGTTTAATGTGGCCTGGAGTGTCTCTGCAACCGTACACCTCAGTCTTCATCAACTTATTTATTTTTCACCCCCAGAACCGACACAGTAATAGAGGTGACTTCTTATATGCATATTTTCTGGAATGCAGAATGAAATACAGCAGCCTTGCTCTGGAGGTGAGCTGGTGGGCCTGCCAGCGGCTGGGGAATCTTCCCGGGTGGCAGGACTGGGGTGTGAGTGGGGTGGGCGTGGGCTTTGAGCACAGGCCCTTCTGGTATTCTCGGTTGCTGAGCACGACGTTCCCCGGGGCTTTTAAAGACCCATTATCCTTTTTCAAAAATGTACTGGGTGAATGACGAAATTTTATCCAGAAGCTCAGTGAATGATAAATGGGAGCAAGGTGACTATTTGTTGTGGCCCTCACCTGAGTCATTCCTGAAGGAACGAGGAGGCTGGGCAAATGTCCCAGCTAATGAATGTATACGATGTCAAGGTGATATCTGAGACCCACCTGTCCAGGTATAAAGTAGAGGTAGAAAAATGATCTGAAAGAAGAAGCTTGTATCGTAACTGCACTCATGAGCAGATTTCAAAGACATTCACCTGACTTCGTTCTCGATGCTGGGGTTCGGCAGCCTCCGCTATAAAGTTGATACATGATGATTAAAATTTTTTCAAACTCCAATAAAGAGCAGTGATTATGTGAACCATTATCGCTGTTAACATTTTCTGGGATATCCTCCAGCAATCTCTGCAGACATCTCAACACAGAGGAAGCCCTTTACACGGCGGACGTGAACCGGCACCTTTCTAAGTCAGACGATCACCAGCGCTCTGCCGTGTGTGCTCGGCCTGTTTCTGTGCTCGTGTGTGATAACCCTTAGAGCATAAATTCCCCAGTGTGGGGCTGCTGTGTCAAGGCTCCAGGAGCTCTGCAGACCCAGACGTCTGTGCTTCCTGACCCCCAGCTCTGCACCAGAGCCAAACCGTCTTGTCAATCTCCATGTTTGCTAATCGAATCAATGGAGAAGAACTCTCATTTTACTTTTATTTCTGATTTGTTGACACCAGATGGCTAGTGAAGCACGGATAATCCTCTGGTAGGGTTCATGTCCATTTATATTTAGTGAACTGCCTCTCATTTTAAAATCTTCAACCCGAGCGTCTATATGTGTCATGTATTAATACATAATCTTTGTATGAGGGCCTGGAGGTAAAGTCTCAGCATTACCACTATGACAGCCTGAGTCCATCCCTGGCCAGGGAGTGACCCACATGGCCCAGCAGACCTCTCCTGTCTCCCCCTGCAGTTTCATCTGTTCTGTTCCCCACTCTGTCTCTGGTGAATCTTCTCTCCCCACACACCTCTGATACACCCCAATTCTTCTGTGCAAAATAAATAAAACTCTTACAATAAAGGAATAATTCTTAACAACAACAAAAAAGACTAAAAAACTGACCCTGAGATATTAAAAAATCCTGCCCTCTCCTCCCTTCCCCTTTGTCAGACACAAAGTCAGATTTGCTCCAGAGCCCTGAGAACGCACCGCGGCCCCCTGGGGCCGGCTCGTTCTGGGGCGGGGTCCCAGCAAGCGCCTCTTACCGCAGCGGAACACGGAGAGCTGGGCCAGCATGGGCACCTGATAGACCTTCCCGTCCGCCGCCACGAACGTCCGCTTCTTCGTGTTCTCGGGCTGGAACCGCGATTTCCACAAGCCCTTAAAGTAGACGGCGTTGACCAGGACCAGCCTGGTGAGACTGCCGTCGATCAGGTCCGGGGAGAGCAGGTTGTCGATCATACCTGTGATGTCAAGGAGCAGAGGGGACACTCAGGCCGGACAAAGTGGCTGCTGGGCACACGCGCAAAAGCAGAGGCATTTTCAGAAGGCTGTCGGGCCCTGCCTGGTGGCGCAACGGGTTAAAGCACAGCACTATGAAGCTCCGCAAAGCCGATGCGGCATAGTTTGATCCCCGGCCAGGGAGCTGACCCACAGGGCGCGGCAGACCTCTCCTGACCCGCCTGCTGCTCCCCTCAGCACTATGTTTCTTCGATCTGCCTGTTTTGCTCCCCACTCTGTCTCTGGTGAAGCCTCTCACCGCCCCTGCACCTCTGTATCCCAGCTCTGTGTGCACAAATAAGTAAATCTTTAAGAACAAACAAACAAAAAAAACTTTCAAGGGAAACTTTGGACAACACTGGTTGTTATTTCTTTTTTTTTTTTCTTCACTAAGCATGAACGCTGCCAAGTTATAATCAGAGACCCACACGGACTTTAGGGAACCCCTGTTTGAAGACTACCAAACTTTTCATCAGGAAGTTCTTTTATGGTTATTTCCCTCTAGCCTGGTGTTTTCAGAAAACGTTACTCAGCCTAACAAGTAATTCTTGGTTAAGCATGGATTTCCTCACGTTTGCTATTAAAGGACACTCAAGACCACAGGGGAAGGGGCTGTGGGTCCTCACAAGAGAAGCAGCTACTGTGTTATTGTGTTGGGAGACACTGGGCAGGTTTAATCCAAGTCAAAAGTAAAGGCCATGGCAGCCCGTGGGAGTTGGCAGGGGAACGTGCTTGATTTCTCTTAAGATTTTACAAACGGTGGGTGCTGGTTTGGAATTCCCGTTGTCACCAGGTCTCTGAACCCAAGAGAGTTTTAAAGAAAATTGGGATTGAGCTAGGTGCTAATATTACAGGATCAAAAGAAATAGGGTCTATCCTAGAAGATGAACTAATTTTGAAGAAAAATGTTCTCCACAGGGCCTTGGAGCAAACACAACTAACTGCTCCAGCTTCTGGATGCTTTCTGAGGCCAGGAGGAGCTTCTGCAGTGCTACAGGTGTTCAAAGTGTTGGTTTTTCTCTTAGGTTCCTTTTGCTCAGTCTTTGAAGACTCCGTGTGTGTGCACACATGTGTGTGCTTTAAGACAGATCACTAATACCCGACACTACTAAAAATGAATTCACTGTGGCTTTTAGCCTAAGCCGATTTTTTAAAAATTATAATGAGTAATATAAATACAGGCTGTAATCGTTTAAAAAATGAGAGTCAAACCAATGTTTTCTGAAGGTACATGAATGTCTAACTCAGCAGAGAGACCTTGGGGTCCTTTTAAGGGAAGCCCATGATTCCAGGACCACAAACAAGTTGGGGCACCCTTCCCTGCCACAAGGTAAGTTTCGTCACTGCTCGTTACTTACACAAGGGGGCGCCAACATCACCTTACACAAAGGTTTGGAAGGCAAACAGGCCTGTAAATAAATGGTCAACCTTCAATAGGAGGCTGCCTCTGGGAACAGACCCTGTGGGGCAGGGGGCCGTGGGGGGGGGGGGCGGCGCTAGAACTCTGTGCTCCAGCGACAGCAAGCTCCTTAGATGGTAAATGTCCCGATGATAGCTGTCGTTTCTCTCCTGAACGTTTCCCTGCCCAAACCCAGGGGGCTTTCAAGGCACAGCTCCGCACTCCTGCGCTGACACACCTTCTCCCAACACAGCTTCCTGCAGCCCAGAGTGGAACACCATCACACCCCAGATTTTATTTTAGTCAAGTGTCCATGTTCATCTCCCCTAGGTAAGCCCTGAATTACCTGCACAAGAGCTAGGCCCAGGTCATTGTTTCATTGTTTAAACCAAGTCCAGCTCTGTGTTCAGCCTACAGTCAGCACCAGATAAATGTCTGAAGGAATCTCTTCAGCCCTTCCTTGCCGAGATAAAAATGAAGGCACTTGTTGCCGCTGTGGGAACTAAACTATAGTAACTACAAAGACGGGCAGACCTGCCATCAGTAACTGCCATGTGCCATTCTCCACCCGCCCGCCTGGCCTTTTTGGGTGCCCACTTCCTTGTGCCATGGACTCTACTGGGCAAGAAAAAGCAAAACATGAACCCTGTCCTCTAGGAGCGGTAGACTAGACAGAGCTGCAGGCAGACACGAATGTCCTGGGAAAGGCAGGGGGGGGGGCGGGGGGAGGAGCCCCAACTGCTGTAGCTACGCTGAAGGGCCAGAACTCAGGACGTGCGAACAAATACGGGGGGATCTGCGCTGGTCAGGGGGGTCAGGGAGGGGTGGCCCCAGGAAGCTGACAGTCACAAAATGACACAGTTGTGGAACATCTGCTTAGTGCCAGGCACTTTGCTAAGTGCTTGTGTGTTTATCGCTATTATCGTATTTCGGTTCCCACAGCAGCCTCAATGTTCTGACTCACAGATGTGGACTGTGAGGTCCAGAGAGGTTAAGTAAGTTGCCCAAGGTTAGACAGCCAGGAAGTGGCCCTGGCATTCATCTCGGAACCTTTGCTTGTAACTAATATGCCAATCACACGCTGGTGAGTGAGTGAACAGACTTTAACGAGGAGGAAAGTGTGGGGGAGCAGGATGCATGTGGTCCTGCTACCAGAGAGGGTGCACATCCCTGGGGTCAGGGGAGAGGCCACCTGGCTGGAGCACAGTGTGTGCAGGACAGGCTGAGGCTTCGGGGAGGGAGGCGGGCAGACTGGCTGGACAGGACACATCTGGACGGTGCTGGCCAAGGCCTGCTGCTGGCTCTCCCGGGTTCTGCAGGACAGAAGTGCCCTCTCCACGGGAGGGAAGGGAAGCCTGTTGCAAGGCACCCTCTGAGCTCGGTCATGTAGTCAAGTATCTCTCAGGGAGCACTTCACCCCAAGGGGGCTGTCTGGCAATTGGTGGGAGCCTTTCCAGTTGAATGGGCAGTGGCCAGAGATGTGACTTGCCCAGCAATGCTCAAAACTGCCCCACACAGAGAGGCCCCACCCGGAGGAGACTCAAACACTCGGGTGTCTGACTGCAAGACCTCCCTCTTCTTCGCACGGAAACACCAAGTATCTTTTCTTGCATTAATTTTTTTTCAGTATAAATTTTTATGCTAAATTTGCCAGAAATGTGAGGCCTGTGCAAATGCACCGTTTAGAAATTTACCAAGAGGTCTGCACTGTTTCTGAACACCTGGGTGGACGCGGGGAATGCAGCTGAGGCATCACACGGCCCTTGCGCTTCTGGTCTTGGCTTTTGCAGCTGTGAGCTCAGTCACTCCAGGAACATGACTGCTCCGCTATGCCCTCAGAGCACACCCCAGGGCTTAACGGCAGAACTACCCGCGTAAGTGACTTTTGTTTTTCCTCCTATTACACTTTGACATTCTATTTACTAAGATCCCGTGTGTGTGCAAAGGTTCCATAAGTGATTAGTCCAGTGCACGAGCACCTTTGCTTACAAACAGGGGCCGGGGGCTGCTGGCGTGAGAGGCTCGCGGCCGCCCTTAGCTGGAGAGCCAGGGACTCGATCTCCAGGATGCCGGCTGAAGTGCTCTGAGCGCCGTGCGATGTGCAGCCTGCACACGTGACTTAAGGTGACCAATGGGGAGGTGAAGCACGGGGGTGAACAAACAGGCCACACAGTCAGGGCCCCCCAGAAATTGCATGCGCCTCCACTTCCCATCACAGGCTCTGGGAAACATGGGACACCCCACACAGGCTGGTTCCCTGACTGTTTCAGAAGGTGAGCTGGACGCCACCATCCCTGGTGAGAAGGGGTGCTGGGGGGGCTCACAAGGGCTGGCCCCCCCGACCCTGCGGGGCCTTCTGTGTCCATCTATGTTACTTCAACTATGCGGGTACAGTCTGGTGTGGCGGCAGAGGCCAAGGGAGGGAGAAACTGCTTTGCACAGGACCCAGGAAGTCTGACACTGATGACTCGGGACACGACCTCACAGGCCAGAGTCTCGGCAAGTTTGGTCTCTGGGTTGTGGGTGTGTTGAGGCCCCAGTGCTGGCCTCCCTGTGATGTCTGTGAAAGGACCCCAGCTCAGCCCACTGAGCCCTGGCCCTCCCTCTCCTCCTGTCTCTACCCGCACCTCCAGCGGAGGGTTTACAGGGTTAAACCACCATGCACAGACATGTGTGGGGGATGTGGCTCCCCTGGAAAGGCCAACTGACCCCCAAGAAAGGCAGCAACTTCCAGGCAGGATAGATGTCAGAGGCAGGATGGGAAAGTGAGAGAACAATCCTGAATACTACAGACCGAGGCTCTGAAAGGCGAAGGGGGGGCTGCAGACACGAAGGCAGGAAGGAGGAACAGGGCCCCCCAAAGAGCTCAGGCTGTGGGCAAGAGGCAGGAGCGAGGCGGGAGGAGCCAGGCGGGAGGTGCCAGGGGCTGCGCTCTGCTCTGCACTTGTTACCGTTGGGGGGAGGGTGGTTAAAAAATGCTGGTATGTGGTGGCGGGTTCGTGGCGGGTCTGGTGTCCCCCCCCTGCCCCCCGCCCCCCCCCCCCAAGACCTGCGTTCGGTCCTCACGGCGCAGCAAACGCCAGGAAGCTCCCACTCACCCCGGGTCTCATTCTTCACCCACAAGTTGATGTTGTCACAGGCGGAGGCCGGGTCGGCGAAGTTCACGTTCCGGACCTCGCACTGAAACACGTCCTTGCTGCGGGCCACGAAGGGCGCCTCCATCTTGAAGCCGTTCTTCACGAACACGGCGTTGGCCACGGCGACCACGTCCTTGTTCTTCTTGGAGACGATGGCCTTGTTGATCTTCTTCAACACTTTCCCGACGCCTGGGGAGGGAAGAGCGGAGGCAGCACTGTTTCCGCAGGGATTTGGAAAAGCTCATTATGGTTTTTAATCGAGATGAGGTTGGCTTTCACCGTAGCTGTGATTTGGGGGGATGAGGGTGCACCCCACTCCCACCAGCCGAGCACCCACGATCCTCCATCCTGGTCCATAGACTGAAAGGTCCAGAAGATTAAAAAAAGTCTTTTATATAGTTCAGCAAATAACAGTATAACCGAGGTAAGTAGGGGGAGCAAGAGACCCAGTCTCCTGCTCTCCCAGGGGCCCGTGGTCCAGTCTCCTGCTCTCCCAGGGGCCTGTGGTTAAGTCGGGGGCGAATGAAGAACAACACGGAGCAACAGCCCAGGTACAGCCAGCGCTTCCCAGACTCCCTGGCGGGAGGAGGCAGCCTGGGAGCTCCCGGTGACACGGCCAGGGAGGGGCAAGCCGAAGGAAATCTCCTCCCTGCCTTTTCCTAAGCGCTTATCTCCTGTCTCACCAAAGATTTAGCATTGCAATTTCTTTTTTTCTGTGTTGGTGGAAAATGGATACAATAAGTATTGGAAAGACCATAAATATCAGCATGAACCACCATGCAAACACAATGTGACTTTTGCTTGGAATCAAGCTCAAAAAGTTAATTTTATGGCAACGTAAGCTTTCTTTTACAGGGCTATTCACACATGGTCCATTTAGTTTTAGAGCAGGGAAAGGGAAGTAAGTTACTAGGAAGAAACGTATTTCTGCAGAGACCTCAAACTGCAGGTCCTTCTTCCTCGCTCGAGGCCTTTTCAAAATGACGCTGTCCTGAAACACCAGGCCGTCACCTGGCCGGTCTCCCGGAGAACCCACCTGTCCCTGGCCAGTATCTCTTTAAGCAAGTGCAGGTTGTCTTACCTCTGGGCCACAGTGGCCCACCCGGGGCAAGGCCACTCCTGACACGCATGTCCTGGGCCAGCCTTGACCTTCTGGTCACATGGCTGCTACCAAATGCCCAGACAGGCCCCTCCCCCTTACCCCCAAGTAATCCTGCAACGAAAACATCATCATCGTGAGTCCTCAGTGATAGCCCGAACCAGGGCAGGGAGAAATTAGTCTGCCCAGGGAACCGAAGAAGTAACGTATAGCACAACCCACCGCTGGCAGTTTGGAGACAGAAAAGGGGTCGGGGGAGGAGTTGCCAGCAGGTCAGCCTCACGGAACTGTGGAAACATGGCATGAAAATGAACCACAAAGACCCCGTTGCTCTTCTGGAACTGACTTGGCTGGCGGCCTAGGGGCGTTAGGAAAGGCTGCCAACCTTTCATCCTGGCGGTGATTCACCAGGAGGCTGTAAGCCACCAGGAGTTTTCCCAGTAAGGGGTGGGGCGGGTGTCTCAGTCCTTGTCCCTGAACGCCTCCATGACGTGAACACGCTGCAGGCTCACGTGGACATCCCAGTATCCCAGTGTCCTAGTATACAGGACAGAGGCACAGGGTCCTGGCAGCTCCTGGGTACCCCAATATCAGGAACAGGGGTGAACCGAGCCAGACAGGGAGCCTACAAATCTCCTCCTGTGTGCCCTTCCTAGCTGCAGTGAGGTCAAGCTCCCTGGGAACCAGAAGGGAAGGAGGAACCTGATAGGAAAACTCCCTGGTTTTCTAGTGAAGTCACTAAACAGTGACATGAGAGCTGTGATGAGGGCCACCGTGGGGTGGTGCCAGGAGACCCTGAGTGAGAAAACCCAAGAGGAAGCAGAGCAGCGGGGCCAGGAGCCGGAAGCACCCAGGTTACCAGAGGTCATTAGAAAGGGGACTTTCTTTCCAGCCAACAAGATCTTTCCCATTGGGCTCTAGTTGAGAAAATTCTGTGCCAGCTGATTTTGAGACAACGGCGAGTCCCAGGAAGTCGTATGTGCAATGCCCAGGGTGGTCCTGGGCGCCTCCATTGTTCTTGCCACTGGCTATGTCTCACGTGACTGCAGAACTGTCTCCAGCCCACCTCATGTCAGGACGGGCCACGACACCTGGCTGCACGGCTCAGGCTCACCCAGCTTGAGCTCTGCGAGGGCACTCCATGTGCCCACTGCAGTCCACGGATCTGCTGTGCCTCCCGCCACGCCCGCCCACCTCCCCAGCTTACAGGTTTCCAAAGCCTCTTCCCAGCTATAACTCATGCTTGTCCTCTACAGCATGCAGGTGAGAAAGCTGTGGATCAGGGAACACAGTCATCCCCAGAACCCCACAGGTACAGAGCAGAGGCCAGAGGCCAGCCCCCAATTTCCAGCACCACCTGTAGAAGAGGTGGCGCTGGACCCCAGGGGGCCACAGCCAAGCCCACACCCAAAGGTGGCTGCTTGGGGCTGGGTGGGAAGACCCAGCCGGGAAGCTCACGGAACAGCCCCTCAGCAGCCTCGCCCACCAGAGCAGAGCCTGGGGCACGCACCGTTCACCCCGTATCTCATGGCTGTGGTGAGCTGCTTCTTGGTCCTGCCGTCGGCCCCCAGCTGGAGCATCCCCAGGATGGACGCGATGCCGTGGGGGGACACCACGATGTTGTCATGAGGCCGGGTCTTGACGATCTGGTTGAAGACCTGGATTCCGGTGTCGGAGTTCAGTTCCTCCAGAGCCAGAGCGTTGAACTGCGAGCAGACGGAAGGCAGGGTCACGGTGGCCACGAGGAAGAAGGGAAAATGCCAATTCATGGTTCCTTCCGGCCAGGACAACCTGCGAAGTTAGAAAAAACTACTTTAATTCTACCTACATGAACACTTTGGGGAGACGGTTTAGTATGCAAGCAGTCTGATTTGCTACTGTTTGAGCGCTCTTTTATAGTTAAGATAGACGAGATCATTGTCGGGGCGCGGAAGGATGGGTGCCTTCCATCGGGAAGAGCTCACCCACGTGCCAGACACCATTCTAATAACAGTTCAGTTCTCACCACACCCTTCTTTCAATTAAAGTGGTCTCAGCGGGGCTCTACTGTGTGCCAGGTGCCTGTCTAGGTTGTAGTATACACGCCAAGTGAGCTGGCCCTCCCTGGTGGCACAAAGGGTTAGGACGCAGCACTGCAAACTGGCTGCAGTCGCTTCAGTGCGAGTTCGATCCCTGCCCCCGGAGCTGCCCCACAGAGCACAGCAGACCTCTCCTGCCCCGCCTGCTGCTCCCCTCACCAGTGTGCTTTATTAATCTGCTGTTCTGCTCCCCACTGTCTGGTGAATCCTCTCACCACCCCTGCACCTCTACCTCTGGTCTGTACCCCAGTTCTGTAGGCATAAATAATCTTTAAAAAAAAAACAAAGTGAGTAAGCCAGACAAGACCCCAGCTCCTGGAGCGGAGCTGGCATTGTGAGGGGAGACAGAAAATCATCTAAGTCAGCAGAAGAGCCGTTCCAGGGGGATGGTACAGAAATGCCCCAGGATGTGAGGGCGTGCAGTGCCCGGCTGGGCGTGGTCATCTGAGGGGTGGGGAGCCTGTTCTGCAGAGGGGGCTCACACGGTGAAGCCTGCTCATGCACGGCCCAAGGGGAGGGTGGGCCAGGCACAGGGCAGCAGTGCAAGGCCCTGAGGTGGGAGTAGGAGTGTGTAAGAGGCTCCTGTGCCTTGGAAGGAAGGAGAGAGGCAGGAGTCGCTGGGGATCCCGAGGACCTGAAGAGCCAAGACAGCCTGGGATCTCAGTCGCAAGCACAACCCGAGGGGCTGAAACAATGGAGCGATCCCTCTGGGCGGCTCCAATGATCTTTCACCTGTATGCTATGCACGTACTTACTTTACCTGGCCCATCACTTAATCAGTGGAGGGAGGCAGAGTGACAGACATGGGAGGGGCCCAATGAAGTAGGGTGGAGGGCCGAGGCTGGTATGGCGTGGGCATGATGCCAGAGCACACATCAGGCGCAAGTCTGTACCCTAAGTCCTACAGTGTTGTAGCCAAGATCAAAAGGAAAACGTTATCCGAAACGGACCATTACATTGTATTTAAGTGATGCCCTGAAGCCTGTACTTGGGTAACCTCCCGAGTCCTGGGGACAGCCTTGTTTTAGTTATTCTCCATCACCGCGATGTGTCTGAAATATGCTCGTCTCCTGAATGGCCACTCACTGAGCTTTCTCCAGCTGTGACAAAAGACAGGGAATGGACGTGTCTGTGGAAATGCAGATACTTTCAAGCCAGAACTTAAAAGCGGCAGCTGCTGAAAGACTTCGCGATGTGGCTGATGATAGGGCTCCTCCCTTAGACCCCCCTCAGGTTTCCCCAACAGCCCCGGATCCCTCCTATCCCAGCTGCCATGTGGGGGAGGCGGGGGCATCTGCAGGAAATGAGAAAGGGCTGCTTCCTAGGATGCAGGTGGCTGGAGTGAGGGGTAACATCAAGGAGGGAAAGGGCGCCTCAGCAACAGGCAACACCGTTTTGGGGTGTTTTTAGTCTTTGTTCTACTTCGCATGCCTGGTCACAGTAAATGTCCAATAAAGAACCCATGAAGTTGAACCTGGAGGCATGTGGCTACTTTCCATGTGTGTTAGGTTTTGTTGCATCAAACAGTGTTTATTGGGGTCACCGAGACAAGGCTTGTGTTCAGTCCCGAGTCTCAGCACAGTGGAGCAGGCACGAACCCCCCACGCAGGGGAGGCCCTGTCTCCCCGCCCGCCCCACAACGCACACAGGGTCTCCAGGTGAGCCCGAAGACACTCATGCAGGTGACGTCGCAGTGTTCCTAGACGTCGTGAAGCGGGCACACTGAAAGCAGTTCGGAACATTCAGAGTTTCTCCAGAGTTCGACAGTAAGATGTGAGAATGCGGCCCATCTAAATGCGGCTCACGTAAGCGACCTACATACGCCAGCTTGGGGCTGTCCTGGGGCCGGACGGGCCCATCTTGGCTCTGGCACCTGAGCCAGGCTCAGACTCCGTGACGGTCCCCTGGGTTTCCCCAAGCCTGCAGGATGCCGGAGAACTTTCAAGTCCTGATCATCGAGGCTGCCTTCAGCCACCTAAAAATCAGCAATGGAGTCCACCCTTCTTTCTTTCAGAAATACATTTCCTTCTTAAGCTATGTCATGAAGCTATCAGAAACATGAAGCAGTCTGTGCAACCCTGTTACAGTGGTCCGCCTCAGTGACGGCCACCAATTCTTCCCGAGGGCCAGCCTCTCGGGCTGACGACTATTCGGGCAGCCCTCCAATCCCACGCCTCCCACCCCCCACCCCGGCAGAGCCCCGGGATCTTCCTGGGCTGGCAAACATTGGGATAAATATTTGACTCCACACCCTCACGAGGCATAAAGGGCATCACCTTGGTCTTGCCTCTGAGACTTTACAGTGGGCTCTCCCAAGTGCTGTGTAGATTTAAGCAGAAGATTGTGAAACAGAAGGGAACTGGGAACAGAGAGAAATTTAACAGCCCATTATCCTGCTCTGAGCCAGGACGGACTCCCAAATAAACAGCCCTACCTTGTTTAGCACAACCGGGCTTGTTTATGAGTTTTGGCTAAAAGAACAGTTTCGCTCTGAAGCAGGGAAAGGCTGCATAAATGTTTTTCTTGATTTCTTGGATTTGGGGAGTTTTTGAGGGATGTCTCTGCAGTTTTCTGGAGCAGTGCAGGTGAGATGGGGTCTGAGCTCTGCAGAACTTGCAATCAGCTCTTTGTGATTAATGTTCTGGGCACAACTTCCTGGGCTCGGTTTCCCAGGCTAAAGGCGTACTTGCCCCAACTCACCTGGCTTAAGTTCATTTCTAAGATGCAGCACTTCCTTCCTTCCAACGTGCAGTAGCCAGGAAAGAGTGTGTCCACCCATAATTACTGTATACATTCCTAATACTGATACTCACTCCTTTCCAAATGGACATTCTTTCACATGAGATGACGGTTGGAGCTTCAGGTTTTCAAATACTTAATCTCTAAAACATGCAGATCCTCATTACCAGAAGAACACGGTGACACTCTGGTTATTTTTATTCTTAAGAGCTATTACACTTGAAGCTTTCAAAAAACGAAAGAGGATGAGGTCCCAGTGCCCACTGGAATCACTGCATCAACCCGGAAGGTCGTAAATATGTTTCAATGCTGCCATTTCCTGATACTATCCCAGGAACAGTAAAATTTTAAAAATCCATTTGGACAGTGACTGGAGGAAGATCCTGAATCCATAAATAAGGCCACCCCCGTGGGGATGTCCTCTGGCGCGTGGGTCTCTCTTTCCCCACGGTGTCCAGGCTCCTAACCACTGCACCTCATGCAGGCGCTGCAGAATGGGAGCTGCCAGCTCAGTGAGAATGAGCATGGGAATAGTAGGAGCCTGACAGATGCCAGCCTCGAGGGCATGTGACATTTGTAAGCGTATCACTTGCCAATGGCAGATCAAAGAGGCTTGTACCCCAGTTCTCATATGCTTTTATTTATTTATGCATACAGAACTTGAGGTATAGGCGCAGTGAGAGGACTCACCAGAGACAGAGTGGGGAGCAGAACAGGCAGATCAGCACAGTACACTGCTGAGGGGAGCAGCAGACAAGACAGGAGGGGTCTGCTGTGCCATGTGGGTCACCTCCAGGGCTGGGGATCGAACTCCCACTGAAGCGGCTGTGGCTCACTTGCAGTGCTGCACCCTAATCTGTTGTGCCACCAGGGAGGACCCAATAAATAAATCTTAAAAAAAAAAAAAACCCACTCTACCAATGCTTTCAACCATTTTGTCTACACCCCTGTACCCACAAGCCTCAGCCCTGCAGCCCCAAATCCCAAGGGCTCTCTGAGTTTCCGTACCAGCCTCCCCACTGCTTGCTGCCTGTGGTCACTGGGCTGGTCAGCACCTGACAACCTTCCATCCTTGGCTTATGGGAGTCACCAGTCTGTGCTCCTCCCAGCTTCCTCTTAGAGGGTCATGCCCAAGGTACCCAGGTCAATGCTTCTCTCCTCAGCCCCCCACCAGTGGCAGCCAGGGCCTCCCGACTCCTTCCCTGGTTTTGGGGAGCTCTCTCATTGTTCCCTACGGATCTGCACCCTATCTCTGAATTCCCACAGCATTTTCTATATGCCTCTCTTATTTTGGTTTTCAGTATGTTTCTGTGCTACACATGCCAACAGGCAGGGAGCAGACACAGCCGCAGCCTGGTGCTCACAGCTTCTTCCCACCTGGTCACTGGAACCAGAGGCTGACATCTGGCATGTGTCCAGCTGTTCACACATTGGGTTTGCAAAACATGGTGTTCTAAAAATACCTTAAACAATGAAAAAGTAGAAGTCACATACAATCTGGATTTAGAATAATTCTCAGGAGAAAAGGAAAAAGAACAGGTGTGCTGGTGACCCGGGGCCTCATTCTATCTGGGGGCGAAGACTTGCTTTCCAGTGAGCCGGGGTCCCTGGCTCCTGCTGCCAGCATCTACACTGCCTCTCCAGGCCCCCTGCACACCTGCCGACAGGTGACGTGACAGGAAACTAGTGTCCGTCACAGACGATGAAACTGGTTTCCCAAGATAAAATCCAACATGCGGTATGTATGCTATCTACATGAGTAGAGGAAAAATATGTCTGGTCAAATGATAAATGACAGCTGTCAACTCTACTTAGTATTCAGAAGGACAAGTAAGTGGTGTGTGAACAGTCTGGAGAGGGAGACACTGGAAAGTCTTTTGCCTCCAACTCTTTGCCAAATGATTCACATGTCTCCGAAGGCTTAGCAGTACCTGACAAAGGGAAAATACTCGATCCCGTCTCACTATCTAAAAA